AATATATATGGTATATACACCGTGGCCCATTTTAATCGACGTACTTGAATATTTCGTAAAGTTCAAAAGATACGAAAAAATGTTTCAGACAAAAGTTGTATGGTTTCAAGGGGGACATAAGATGGTGTCATTAGTTTGATCTTGAAGAGCCACCTGAAAGTCACGCGAAGGTCAGCTCCAACTTTTTAAATGGGACACCCTAGATGCTTTAGCATATTCTTGTAGCTCATCTCAAGAGCTTTCCAAAACACTATAATTAAGTTAGTTTTCATTAAGTACTTTCTAAGTTATGAGGCTTAAAATTATTTTTTAATTTTACATAAACCGTAAATATCTTGTAAAATATTCATTTTTCGATTATTTTACCTTAATACTTTTATGTACAAAATAATGAGAGGAATCAATCGGTGTAAAGAAAACATACAGTTGTTTTTAACAAAAAATATGGAATTGTTAATTGCAAATTCCATATTTTTTCTTAGAAACAACTATGTGTTTTCTTTACACCAATTGATTTCTCTCATTATTTTGTACATAAAAGTATCAAGGTAAGATAATCGAAAAATGAATATTTTACAAGATATTTTACGGTTTATGTAAAATTAAAAAATGATTTCAAGCCTCATAACTTGGAAAGTACTTAATGAAAACTAACTTAATTATAGTGTTTTGGAAAGCTCTTGAGATGAGCTACAAGAATATGCAAAAGCATATAAGGTGTCCCATTTAAAAAGTTGGAGCTGATCTTCACGTGACCTTCGGGTGGCTCTTCAAGATTAAACTAATGACACCATCATATGTCCCCCTTGAAACCATACAACTTTTGTCTGAACAATTTTTTTGTATTCGGCTTACCAACGGAGTTATTCAGGTGGCCTGTTTTAGATGCCTCACCCTGTATATATATATATATGTATATATATATATATATATATATATACATATATATACATATACAGGGTGTTTCAGCTATCAATGTCTATTGTGCCAAAGAAAAACCATAAGTAGATCTCGCTGAACTGAACTAAATAGTCTTATATCATTTCACGAACAATCACGTAAACCGATTTATCATGATTTACAGATTTTAAAAACTTAGATCTTGAATTATATAGATTTGAAAGCCTTTCAAATTTGAACAGCTTTTCAATTTGAAGTTAGTTTCCAAATCTTGATTGCATAGATAGAGTAGAGAGTATAATAATTTTAAAATTTTAAATGAGAATTTCGACTTGCTATATATGAAAAAGTTGTGACTTAGCTATATATGAAAAAGTTGTGAATAATCACACGAAAGTCAAATTACAAGACTCTTCTATGATTTATTTAATTTAATAATCAAAGTATCCATCATAAATTTGTAAACATTTATTTATTAGAATTAACAAATTATTTATAACGTTTGATAACATTTTCTAATTTTCAAAAGATTCCACTCAAATTTGAAAAACTCTTCAGATTCCATACAATTTAAAACCTAAACTTTAAAATCGATAACATAGATTCCAAGATATCAAGCAAATAGTGATTGCCTTATGTAAGATGTATCTTATATAATATTTATTATTGTTAAAATAGTAATGTAAAATAATAATGTAAAATTATATAATATTAAATGAGAAAAGTATATAGTAATCAATTATTATAATAATTTTATTATGTTTTTATTATTATTTAATTTTTATTATTATTTAATAGTAATGTAAAATTATCATATTGTAAAAATGTATAAATAATAACCCAGGCAACAGAAAGATGTCGAATAATATCTTAATAATATTTTAATAGCAATTAAGACATTTTAAACATCATCTTGCTACCTGTAAATGTAAATAATATAATAATTTTGTTATATAGGAAATTATAGAACTTACTTATAGTTTTTTGTGGGATATTTAAAATTTCAATCAAATCAATATATTCCGGATTAATATTTGATGTGTTTATAGGCTCATATCTCCCTAAGGTAGAAATTATGCTGTTGCTTTTTATATGCAGTTCAAACGGTACATTACCATTATTGAAAGCAGCAATTTTTGGTGCTCTTGCTTGCACACCATCTAGATGTATTATCTATTAAAATTATATATTTTTTTAATAAAATAATAATTATATATATTTATTTGGCATATTTATTTGTTAGATTTATATTTATATTTATATTAACATAATACATAGAGGATATCACATTTTAATTATCGTATTTAAATTCCTTCAAAAACATTCGAGATATTGAAATTCTGTTTTTACTGTTATGTAATAAAAAGAGATATATTTGATAAAGAAATTGACTTGATATGACGGTTAAATTTTTAAAAGATGTCTCTTTTGTTTCAATATAACCTTGTGATATTATTGCATATTGCATTTGTAATAGCAAATATAATTTATACATTATATGTTACAAAAGAAAATATGAAAATAAAATAAAATATAAGATATTAGAAAAAAATAAAATAAATAACATAATAAAATAATCAGAAATAGAAAATAGAAAAAATAATAAAATAAAATAATGAATTAATAATAAAAAATACTAATAAAATTAATAAAATTAGGAAAATAATAAGAGTAAATTTTTTTTAATTCATGTACACATATATAAATTGTGCATATACTCATATAAACACATCAATTACAATATGTACATATCTTATAAATGAATGTAATATAATATATTTTAGTTAATATTAATAAATTATGTTTAGTATATTATTAATAAATGATATATTTATAAATAATGGCACTTACGCAATTAGTGCTTATTAGATGTTCTACATTTTCAATGTCGTCATTCCATGCCACAATTTGGACACGTCGACCACTTCCGTTATTTATATAAAATTTAAATATTTTATATTGATTATTATTACCTACGTAACGCGATGAATCGATTCCATCGACATATCCGATTATTTCACTATAATGCATTTAATAAAAATAATTAAGAATTATGTATTAAATAAACAATATTATATTTTGAAAAAAATGAGGTTTAAATTTTGTGATAAATTTATTTTTAAAATAATTTCTAACAATTAAGACTTCTAAACTTTGAAAAATTTGACTTCGAAATTAGACTTCAAAACTGACATATAATATTAATTATACATAAATTATTATGTGTAAAAATGTCAGTAAATGCATTGCAAAAATATTATAAAGACATTAATGATTTTATTTCGAATGTCAAGATCAAGAACGTAATAAATTTAAATTTTAAATTAATTTTAAGTTAATTAATTTAAATAGACAATTGAGTTATTAGATGTTAGAGATAGGTGGCTCGCCACGATTGCGTAGTGTCGCCATCTGTGGCATTTTTCTATCATCTTCTCGTTGTTCGTTTTTCCCCGGCCGTGCGTGATCCTCTCGGGGCTTTCTTTACTTCGTCTGTATTTCTCCCAAGTGCAATACACAGTTACTTATAACTCGGTGCTATTTAATTGACCCCCTAAGTCGTGACGATCCTTAACTCTAACATTAGAAAAAATAAGAAAAAAATAAGAAAAATAAGAAAAAAGAAATAAAATTTAAAAAAGAATCAATAGAACAGATTATTTAATTATAATGCATTTAATAAAAATAAACAATAAAAAAATTATATCCCTTTAGTAAAAAAGGCATGTTATATCGATTAGTCGCAAATCTCGAAGTGATTGTTGCCGCTTTTCTGCGGATGCTGATTGGTTATCGCGATGCGCCTTGACGTCCTGAACTTAGTTCGTGTATGTGACAGCTCTTGTGCTTGTATAATAAGCTGTATAATAAGTTTGAAAAAAAAGGTTATATGAAAATTCATGAGCATACAGGTAAGTTGTTATTTATATAATTCAATTTGTTATTTATATAATTGAATTATAATAGTTTTTATTTCTTAATAATTTGTTATCTATTTTTTAAGTGTAAGAAACAGAAAATAGATAAGAAAGAAGAAAGAGACAGAAAGCGGGAGAGAGAAAGAGAAAGAAGGAAAGAAAAGAAATATATCAGGTAATGGAAGACCATATTTTAAAAAGCCTAGCATTTTAAAATTCACATTTTTGTAATTATGCTTATAAAGTCTAAAAAAAAATATGATTTCAAAGAATATATGAATTATAAAATGCTATATATGCATTTCTATAAATTAATATTATATATAAGCGAGTCCGGTGTAGGCTGTCGTGGCGTGTGGACGTATGTCAGGTCGCTCCGCCTTTGAGTGCTTATTGGGGAGTGTAAAGTAAATTCTTTATGTCTAAAACTGAGTGCTAACGGTGTGAATAGTTACGGCGAATACTGTGGCATATAAATTGGATGCGTTAAACTGCGTAAATCATCGAAATATATTATACGTGCTCAGGGACGTAGAAATGTGACGCAGCCTTTTACAATCTATCCATAATTGCACAAGTGAGAAGCGCTCGATAACAAAATAATGGAATAAACCCAAAATAAGGACCGGGACGTGATATGCAAATTAACACCGGCGAAAGAAGTAACGTTTGACGTTGAACGAAATCGTGTGCAATGAAAACGTCGCCTCAACATTGACTTTCACGGAAAGAAAAAGGTGTAAATAACGACAATATTGAGTGTCAGCAATAGAAGCCGATGTTTCAAAAATAAACGGTTAATTGTTGTTTACGCGATTTTGAGAAATTCAAATTAATGAATAAAACAGGAGAAGGCCCGGAAAGACAAAAGGAGCCAAAACGAAAAGGGAGGCCGACCCACGCGGAGAACCTTGGAAGACAAAGGGCCAATAGTTGCGAGTCGATAGTCGACTCGTTTAAGAGGAAGAGGGAAGAAAAGGAAGATAGGATAAGAACAGAGAAGGAACTACTTGAGAAATTCCAAAAAACAAGAGCAGTGAGCAAGTCACCCCCAACGAAAAGAATAGAAAAAGCAGCAGAAGGGACGCAAGAGGAGAAGAATACAGGAAACGAAGAAGGGCTAGATATGGATAAAATAGATAAATTGACAGAGATTATACTAACAGCCGTATCATAGCCGTATCATAACTTTAACTCCAATTTTAATTGTAATTTGTTTCGAAAACCCATCTGTTCTAGAATTATCATCATCATTATTTGATAATATTTTTAATACTTTCTTTTTTACATACGGAATACATTCAATCGTGTCTTCAGCTGTTAATAAAATTTCTTTAGAAGCAATACGACTTAACATTGCATTATTAATAACATCACACATATTACAAGTAGGCAATAAACATACAGTATCCGATGATAAATTATTAATAAAATTACATAATTCATCTACTCTACATTCAAAAGAATCATTTTTGAAAGATATTTTTCTACTTTCAAGAATCTTACAATCAGATTTTGTCAATAAACCAATACGAATTTTTGATAATAATTCACGATAACAGTTGTCTCCTTGCTGACGCATATTGATTATTAATTCCTCGTAATCAAATAACGTAATCCATAAATTAACAGCATTTAAAGAACCAAGATATTTAGCAACTTTTTCATTTGATAAATGTATAAAGATAGGATCTTCTCGTACAGGAGGTAATTGAAGTAAATCTCCAAATAAAAGAATATGCTTCCGACCAAACCAACCATCGTCGCAATCATTAGTGTCAAATATTTCAGATAATCGAAGATGTATATACATTAAAGTCAAATTAGATATCATTGACACTTCATCAATTATAAAAAGAATAACATTTTTAAGATCTGCTCGTAAAACTTTCAATACATGATCAGATAGTGGTTTATACTTAGGAGTATGACCATGTTCAACGGGTAATTGAAGTAATCTATGAACTGTTAAACCATTTATATTAAACGCTGCAATACCAGTAGGTGCTGCTACAGCAGTATCTTTATTCATATTTTGCTTTATCCAGCACTTAATAGTCTTGATTAAGAAACTTTTTCCAGTACCACCTTCTCCGCTAACATATAATCGTAATACTGATTCATCTGATTTTATAATATTGATAACTTTATTAAAAACTCGTTTTTGATCAGTATTTAATTTTTCTATCATCTCAGATATATGGGTTTCTCGAATTACTTTATCACGAAGATCTTTAAAATTTTGCATTGCCTCACCAGCTTCTACATTTTGAACACCTATTGGATTATCAGGATTATCCTGAGACTGCTGGTTTTGTAAATCATCATCTTGACATTGCTGAACTAATTGTTTTGCAGTTTCAAAAGCTTTTTGCAATTCTTCTAATCTTTCATGATATTGTAATGCTTGTACAAGATGCAGTTTTATTTTATGAAACGCTTCAGCGTAAGTATCGCATTCACATCTGAGATCCTCTAATTTTCGCCATGGTTTAAACATAAGCAATAATGAAAAGAAATAGTTTTCTGGTTGTGTATTAACACTATATTTATAATGATTAATAAGATATCCACGCTGTCGCTGTTTAAGGTAATAACCATTATCTATTTTATAATATTTAATATTTTTAGATTTCGGTTTTATTTTCGAGATATCATACCACTGTGCAAATTCATAAAGAGACATATTTTCTAATTCATTTGGTCTATGTGGATAATGATCATCTATCAAAGATGGATAAAATATATTTGTAGATTCAGCATCCATAGCTTCAACTTCTTTGCGATTTTTTAATTTCCTATATCTAATTGGGTTAACATCTAGCCATCTGATAGTTGTATTTTGATCAGTTCCATACAAAGGAATACTTAATAATGCATCAGCAGCTTCGAGAGCTCCACATTCTCTATTATTCGTAAATCGCAAAGCAATATTCCAAAGATAAGAAGCTAATGATTTGTGTTTATTATTCTTACTATTAAGAATAAGCTCAGATAATTCACTTTTTCCTGCTTTATTCATATATTTAGTAATGTACCAGGTAAGCAGCGATGATTTTTCACCAATAAATTGAATATCCATATTACCTTCCCATGCAGTAAGAAGAATAGGATTATAGTCATTTATATTAACTTCATTATCCATTCGAGGAAGATCATAAAGTCTACTTTTATGTTTCAATTGTTTTCTTCCTGCTATCGAAGTTGCTACATCTCTCACATTCAAAGTTTCAGTAACAGGGCGAGGAAATCCAAAACGACATCGACGAATAACTTTTCGTCCTATTTTTTTAGAGCGAAGACAATAATCATTATGTACATGTTGCTGATGCGTAGTAACACGCCTGTACAATAAAGGAGAAATATTTTGATCCGGCACTTTACAGCTTATATGTTGTAAAATAAATTTAGACACTTCTTCAATAACAGATTCCCCGAAAATCGGTGCATTTTTAATCCAAATTAATAAGTGAAAATGTTGTATACCTCTACCTTGATATTCTCGTCGCCAGAAGTAATGCATTACTTCTCCAATTGGATGATCCTCAGAGGTAATAAAATCAAGCATTGCTCGAAATTTATTATCGAGAAACCTAGATGTTGATACAGGATCTCTTGCAACAAGTACACTAACGGATAAAGAAACGTCATGCCATCCATTTACTTCACGAATATATTCACCTAAATCTTCCCATAACCATTCACTCGGACTTAGGGTTAAAAACCATGTCGCAGGTCCATAATGTTGCGTCATACAATTTAAATCACTTCTTGGTTTACGCCAATATTGCTCTGTATTTCGAAGTGTTGAAAATATTGTACTCAAATTAGATTCCAATAATTCCTTCGACATTGCATCTAAATATTCTGCAGCTGTATAACGAACTCGCGAATTTGTTACGTTCATTTTATGAAAAATTCCACGATTTAATTGATGCATATTTGCATCATTCAATAAATAAAATAAATATTGTTGATTTAATCTATACTGTGGATGTTTAGATGTTAATCGACATTTAATAAATTCATGATCATAAAGTTTTATTTTTCTAGTTTCATGTTGTCCATTATTACCAAAAGGATAAATATCTGGAAAACACATCAAATCCAAATATTTTTCACGATTATCCAAAGGCAAGTCCTGAATTTTTAACATTTGATATAAAGTTGTTGCAGTTTTATTTGCTTTCTTTTCATATAAAGGATATATAGTATATTGTTCATAATAATTATCATCTTCATCAGTAATTTGAGTTAGCATTCCCTTTTGTTGTTGATTTTCTAATACAACTTGTGACGACACCGTCGTCGTCCCTGTATATATGTATATAATTTTTGTTCATTCGTTTCGTTTCTTGTTCCTGTGTTCATAAAATAAAATAAAGAGTTAACTATAGTAATTTCCGCGAGTAAATTCCTTACTCGACGCCTATGGCGCCCACCTGCGATCCCGCCTATGTTTCCCCACCGAATCCTACTCCCTCCTTGACGCACGCGAGCATGGGGGGCTCTCGAGCCGTATAAAAGCCGGCTCGCACGACAGACCGGCACCTTATTCCTTTCCAGCTCAAAGCTGCCAGATCTCCGCCGCAAGCAACATGCAACACGGCGTGGAGGGGGTAATGAGGATGTAAGCGTAAGCGTACGTGTGAGCTCGGCGCTTCGGCTAGCTTCGGATAGAAGAAGAGGACAGAATACAGTCTTCTGTCTCCTTCCTACCGAAAGACGGGCACGACGCGTCACGCTCTACGATATCTCGATATGCGCTCAATGTTTCTTTTACAGCATTTTTATTGTATAATGTGTTTAGAATATGTCTCTGTATATATATATATATATATATATATATATATATATATATGTATACACATACATATTATAAACATATTATACGACAAAGAATAATATTTAAATAATTATAATATATTTGTATAATGTATATATATATATATATATATATATATAATATTTAATATATTTAATATATTTATTATATATATATATATATATATATATATATATATATATTATATATATATATATATATACAGGGTGGCCCATTTTAAGTGATCCACTCAAATATTTCGGAAAATAATGAAAAATCAAAAAAATGTTTCAGATAAAAGTTGTATGGCTTGAAGGGGGCCATCAGATAGTGGCAATGATTTGACCTTGGAGAGTCATTTGAAGATGACGTAAAGGTAACCTTCAATTTCTTAAATGGAACTCCCTATTTTTTATTACATATTCGTGTAGCTTATCTCGAGAGCTTTCCAAAACACTATAATAAAGTATTTCTTCATTGAGTACTTTTCGAGTTATGAGGCTTGAAATCATTTCTTAATTTTGTATAAACCGTAAAATATCTAGTAAAATATTCATTTTTCGATTATCTTGCTTTAATACTTTTATGTACAAAATAATGAGAGGAATCAATTGGTGTAAAGAAAACACATAGTTATTTTTAAGAAAAAATATGTAATTTGCAATTAACAATTACATATTTTTTCTTTGAAACAACTATGTGTTTTTTTTTACACCAATTGATTTCTCTCATTATTTTGTACATAAAAGTATTAAAGCAAGATAATCGAAAAATGAATATTTTACTAGATATTTTACGGTTTATACAAAATTAAGAAATGATTTCAAGCCTCATAACTCGAAAAGTACTCAATGAAGAAATACTTTATTATAGTGTTATGGAAAGCTCTCGAGATAAGCTACACGAATATGTAATAAAAAATAGGGAGTTCCATTTAAGAAATTGAAGGTTACCTTTACGTCATCTTCAAATGACTCTCCAAGGTCAAATCATTGCCACTATCTGATGGCCCCCTTCAAGCCATACAACTTTTATCTGAAACATTTTTTTGATTTTTCATTATTTTCCGAAATATTTGAGTGGATCACTTAAAATGGCCCACCCTGTATGTATATATATATTATTAAATATATATATATATATATATATATATATATATACATTATAAATATATTATACAAATATGAATATGTACTAATTATATTACCAAAATATATTATAAAACTATTTAGTATAGTATTTAACTTGTTTCTCTATAAATATACATTTAAAATAATAAAATAAAGAAATTTAATGAGTGTGGCGATTTTCCACACCACCCACGGGGTATCACCAATGGCGCGTTAGATTTTTTTATGTGGATCTTCGCCTAGAGCCCTATTATACCACATTGTATTTATATATAGAGGATGGGGAAAAAAATATCTAGGAATAAGGGATAAAAGGAATAAAATATTGAATAAATAAATATTCTATAAATTATTAATTATTTTTTATTAATTATTTTTTATGTTTGTATATATCAATAATAATAATAATTTTTAATAACGGTTCCGCCTCCTCGGCCTCCTCGAGCCCAACCGCCTCCTCGGCCTCCTCGGGCCCAACCGCCTCCTCGGCCTCCTCGGGCCCAACCGCCTCCTCGGCCTCCTCGGACCCAGCCGCCTCCTCGGCTTCCTCGGGCCCAGCCATCTCCTCGGACCCCGGCGCCTCTTCGGGCCCAGCCTCCTTGACCTCGGTCGCCTCCTCGACCGCCAGACATGCCCCTGCCGCGCTGGGTATACCAGCGGGCACGAGCCTTGCCGCCTCCTCTCTTTTTAATTTTATTTTCTGAAAAATAAAACAAATTATAATATATATATATATATATATATATATATATATATATAATTTAATATAAAAAATCATGTACCATTTTGCTCCTGCTGTTGCTCCTTCTGTTCCTGCGGCGGCGGCGGTGGCGGCGGCGACGGCGGCTGCTGCTGATGCTGCTGCTGGTGCTGGTGCTGGTGCTGCTGCTGCTGCTGCTGCTGCTGCTGCTGCATAAATATTTGCAGCTGATGCAACAAATGTTGCTGATGCAACATTTGTTGCATCAGCTGCTGCATCGTTGGCTGCGCAGCATCTTGCAGCACCAAAGCGCCCATCTCTTCATTAATATCTTCTATAAAATTATGAAGAAAAAAATTAAAATAGAAATTAAAGATTAAATTATTTCTTAATATCTTTGTATAAATAATGATTTACTTACGAGACATGTTCGATCTGTCGCCGTGCTTGGATGAACAGACAATGAGACACACTCGGCATTTGTTTATTTGTTTCATGCCGTTTAATTTGTTTTACGCCGTTCATTTATTTCGCGGCATTTATTTTCATCAGATAATCTTGTCGCCTTGTACTATCAAGTAAACATATTTTTTTATACGTGCTCTGAAATCTTGGTGTTCAAGAACTGTCACAATCCCGATTTGTGTGTGAGTTCTGATTATTTCAAATTTCTATATATATATATACCATTTTTCTTCTTTAATTCTTTGTTTCTGTCTATTTTTTGATTCACAAAAATGAGTGATGAATTGAAAAAAAAATTTAAGCGAAGCTTTTCAGATGCTTGGCTCAATGATGATCGATATAAATCTTGGATACGCAAAGTACCATCCGACGATAGTCTTTATTATTGTAGTATATGCAATAAAAATTTTTCGTGCAATACACATATTTTAAGACATGCGGATTCTGCGTGTCATAAAAATAATATTAAAGAAAATAATTTAGCTTTAAATACTAATAATGTGTGTGAAAATAATAATAAAAATTCAGATAAAAAAATATCCGAAAAATATAAATTTCAAGAACAATGGCTAGAAATAGAATTATTTAAGCCATGGTTACGCAAAGTATCACATGATGAAAATTTATTTTTTTGTTCATTTTGTGATAAATCAATGAGATGTGATTTATCGAAAATTTATCGTCACGCAGAATCCAAAGCGCATATAGAAATATGTAAAATTAAAACAGAAACAAAGAATACAAACGAAAATATAAACATAATAGATGATTCACTTTTGTCGTTTGAAGAGCGAAAAAAAATAGCAGAAATTCGATATGCTGCATTAATTGCTGATAAAAATATTTCGCATCAAACTGCAAAAGAAATTCTCAACTTTTTTCAACATATTGGAAAAGACCCTAATGTGTTAAAAAGCATGAGTATGGGCCGAACAAAATGTAAAAGCATTATTACAAATGTTTTATGCCCAGTTGAAACAGATCGTGTCGTCAATAAAATTCAGAATACAAAATTTTCAATTTTTATTGACGAAACATCTGATATAACTAATGATAAATGGATGACTTTTCTTGTCCGATACGTTGATCCAGAGACATTAGATATTCGCTCACAATTAGTTAAATTAATTGATATTGATGCCAAAGATTCAAGTGCAGAAAAGTTGTTTAAGGCATTTAAATGTGAAATGTGGAAATTACAGATTCCATTTTTAAATATCGTAGCTTTATCATGTGACAATGCATCTGTTATGACAGGAAAACATTTATCGTTTAAAAAAAAATTAGAAGAAATATGTCCACATTTATTAACGTTTTCATGCCCATGTCATTCCTCCGCATTAGCAGCGCACGCTGCATGTTCTAAAATGCCCGCATATTGCGAAGAATTTCTAAAAAAAATTGCTACTTATCTCAATAGCAGTCCAAAACGTACGGCTATTTTTCGTGAATTTTGTGAATGTTTCCAAGAAACAAATCGCAAAATATTGAAATTATGTGATACGCGCTGGCTTTCGCATTATTTATGTATCGAAAGACTTCTTGAATCTTGGGATACAATTAAATACTTTCTTATTGAAATGGTTGTGAGCGAAAAAACAAATTCTGGAGAATATCTCTTGTCTATGATGGACAACGTAGAGATAAAAGCTTATTTTCTATTTTTAAAATATGTGTTGAATTTTTTTAATGCATTTAATGCATTTTTTCAAGCATTAGAAACAAGGATTCATTTATTATATCCAAAATCTTTAAACTTTCTTTTTCAAATCTGTCGAAATTTTATAAAAGAAGAATATTTAAAACCATTTTCTTCAAATATTATATTTTCATTAAAAGAAAATCAAAAACCTATTAATGAAATTATTTTGGGATCAGAATGTGAGGAATATCTAAACGAATTAACGCTGAAAGGTCACATAAACATAGTTACAATTGTTCGAGAGAATTGTTTATTATTTTATGTGACTGCTGCAGAAAAAATTCGTAAAAGATTACCTCTAAATAATATATTTTTATCAAAGTTACAAGTTTTTCAACCATATATAAGTTTATTTGATAACAATAGAGAAACATCATTCAATGATGTTTCTTTTATAGCTAAAACTATCGGCGGTTTTGATGAAACTGATTTAAAGAAGGAATGGATGGCCTTACCATCAGATTTTACAATAGAAGAAAAACAAAACTTTTCTAAATTAAATTTCGACAGCATGTGGAAAAAAATTTTACAAAATCGACACAACAATCTTGCTAAATATCCCAATTTAACAAATATTATAAGTACTATTCGATCTCTTCCAAATTCAAATGCCGATTCGGAGAGAATGTTTTCTCTTTTAAATAATTTAAAAACAAAAAAACGTAATAGTTTTTCGTCAGCTACTGTTAATGCTATTTGTGTATTTAAATCTGCATTAAAAACGAGAGGCGAGACAGCTATCAAAATGAAAATTGATGAAAAGCATTTGTCTCTTATGTCAGCGGATAAGTTATATGCTACCGTTGCTAAAAAAAATAAAAGTATTTTAAAATTACATGCTGCAGATACCATTGACATAGCTGGCCCCTCATCTCATAAATAATAAATTTATTACAAACATTACGCTTGTAAAAGATAAATACGTGAAAAACATCTCGTCTGTTACAAATATCATATTTGTAAAAAGTAGGAGTATTAAGAATATTCTTGTCTGTATAACAGACATCATATTTGTGGAATGTAAAAGTATTAAAATCATCTTGTCTGTGTAACATCATATTTGTGGAAAGTAAAAGTATTAAAATCATCTTGTCTGTGTAACAGACATCATATTTGTGGAAAGTAAAAGTATTAAAATCATCTTGTCTGTGTAACATCATATTTGTGGAAAGTAAAAGTATTAAAATCATCTTGTCTGTGTAACAGACATCATATTTGTGGAAAGTAAAAGTATTAAAATCATCTTGTCTGTGTAACATCATATTTGTGGAAAGTAAAAGTATTAAAATCATCTTGTCTGTGTAACAGACATCATATTTGTGGAATGTAAAAGTATTAAAATCATCTTGTCTGTGTAACATCATATTTGTGGAAAGTAAAAGTATTAAGAATATTCTTGTCTGTATAACAGACATCATATTTGTGGAATGTAAAAGTATTAAAATCATCTTGTCTGTGTAACATCATATTTGTGGAAAGTAAAAGTATTAAAATCATCTTGTCTGTGTAACAGACATCATATTTGTGGAAAGTAAAAGTATTAAAATCATCTTGTCTGTGTAACATCATATTTGTGGAAAGTAAAAGTATTAAAATCATCTTGTCTGTGTAACAGACATCATATTTGTGGAAAGTAAAAGTATTAAAATCATCTTGTCTGTGTAACATCATATTTGTGGAAAGTAAAAGTATTAAAATCATCTTGTCTGTGTAACAGACATCATATTTGTGGAATGTAAAAGTATTAAAATCATCTTGTCTGTGTAACATCATATTTGTGGAAAGTAAAAGTATTAAAATCATCTTGTCTGTGTAACAGACATCATATTTGTGGAAAGTAAAAGTATTAAAATCATCTTGTCTATGTAACATCATATTTATGGAAAGTAAAAGTATTAAAATCATCTTGTCTGTGTAACAGACATTATATTTGTGGAAAGTAAAAATATTAAAAACATCTTGTCTGTGTAACAGACATCATACTTGTAAATGATAAAATAATGCAATGTGGTATAATAGGGCTCTAGGCGAAGATCCACATAAAAAAATCTAACGCGCCATTGGTGATACCCCGTGGGTGGTGTGGAAAATCGCCACACTCATTAAATTTCTTTATTTTATTATTTTAAATGTATATTTATAGAGAAACAAGTTAAATACTATACTAAATAGTTTTATAATATATTTTGGTAATATAATTAGTACATATTCATATTTGTATAATATATTTATAATGTATATATATATATATATATATATATATATTTAATAATATATATATACATACAGGGTGGGCCATTTTAAGTGATCCACTCAAATATTTCGGAAAATAATGAAAATCAAAAAAAATGTTTCAGATAAAAGTTGTATGGCTTGAAGGGGGCCATCAGATAGTGGCAATGATTTGACCTTGGAGAGTCATTTGAAGATGACGTAAAGGTAACCTTCAATTTCTTAAATGGAACTCCCTATTTTTTATTACATATTCGTGTAGCTTATCTCGAGAGCTTTCCATAACACTATAATAAAGTATTTCTTCATTGAGTACTTTCGAGTTATGAGGCTTGAAATCATTTCTTAATTTTGTATAAACCGTAAAATATCTAGTAAAATATTCATTTTTCGATTATCTTGCTTTAATACTTTTATGTACAAAATAATGAGAGAAATCAATTGGTGTAAAAAAAACACATAGTTGTTTCAAAGAAAAAATATGTAATTGTTAATTGCAAATTACATATTTTTTCTTAAAAATAACTATGTGTTTCTTTACACCAATTGATTCCTCTCATTATTTTGTACATAAAAGTATTAAAGCAAGATAATCGAAAAATGAATATTTTACTAATATTTTACGGTTTATACAAAATTAAGAAAATGATTTCAAGCCTCATAACTCGAAAAGTACTCAATGAAGAAATACTTTATTATAGTGTTTTTGGAAAGCTCTCGAGATAAGCTACACGAATATGTAATAAAAAATAGGGAGTTCATTTAGAATTGAAGGTTACCTTTACGTCATCTTCAAATGCTCTCCAAGGTCAAATCAATTGCCACTATCTGATGCCCCCTTCAAGCCATACAACTTTTATCTGAAACATTTTTTTGATTTTTCATTATTTTCCGAAATATTTGAGTGGATCACTTAAAATGGGCGCACCCTGTATATTCTATATATATATATATATATATATATATATATATAT